TTTTTTTGTCTTGAAAAGTCTGGCTTTAGAATCAGTCTACAGTCAACTATTACCTAGATTGTTACATTAGAAGTAAGTTTCGTGGACCAAATTGACATAGAAAGAAGCGGTACCCCCAAGCCATAAGACTCCTGAACAGCTAATCATGGCTACCCGGACTATTTGCATTGACCACCCCAACCCCCTCTTTTACGCTGCTGCTACTCTGTTTATTATTTATGCATAGTCACTTTAACTCTACCCACATGTACATATTACCTCAATTACCTCGACTAGCCGGTGCCCCCGCACATTGACTCTCTACCGGTACCCCCTGTATATAGCCTCCCTACTGTTATTTTATTTTACTGCTGCTCTTTAATGATTTGCTTTTTTTTTTTTTTTTCTTAAACTTAAGGGCTTGTAAGTAAGCATTTCACTGTAATGTCTACACCTGTTGTATTCGGTGCGTGTGGCCAATAACATGTGATGTGATGTGATTTAGAAGCGGTGGATCTGGTCCATGTGTTATTTCTATACCTGTCATACTTAAGTTTTGTTTTTGCATCTTTTACTTTCGATTTTTTACACCATTTTCAAACAGCTGAAAATACAATAATTTTGGTTATTGAAAATATATTTCACAGCTTTTTAGATGGTACAATGAAATTAGGCAAACTATTAGAATTTTTGCAACCAGGAAATGGCGGAGCGATTTCTGCATATTGCACCTTTTAAAGCCTAGGCCTAGACTAAAAAACATGGAAATTATCCATTGAATATGCTTTTAAATCCAGAAGCTTAATCTGTGTTTGGGAAACCGACCCTAGAAGTTTGAGTTAATGGTATCAATCAGAAAATCTTTGCATCTCTTCACAAACTCTTCATCCTATTTTACTTCTTGTTTGGGGGAAAACTCTGTTCCCTTCTCATTTTACCGGTCAGCTGGGTTTTACTCTGCGGCTAATCTCAGTGTTGATGATAATGAGTCTGTTTCACTGCTTCCTTGCAGGGTTTCTGGGCCAGAACTGTGAGGTGGATGTAAATGCCTGTACCCTACCCAACGCCACATGCCCTAGAAACACACATTGTTTGGATCTGCCTGATGGACTGAAGTACACATGTCGCCTACTGTGCCCTCCAAACATACAAGTGGGTGAAACAACACTTTCTTTCTTTTTTTTTGCAGAACGTGGGGTGAATCCTAACTTCCATTTAAGTAACTATTTTCACTTAATCTCCCGTTGACATCAATGCATGGCTACGTGAAAATGTAGGATATGCCCCCAACTGAACAAACAAACCCCAGCAAACAAATTTGGCGCACTGTACAATTCTCTGATAGCGAACTGCACATCAGACCTGGGTTCAAATACCATTTTAAATCATTTAAAATGCTGGATCTGGGCTTGATTGTGCTTGTTAACCCCGCCATCAGGCACTACAGACAGACTAAAGCAAACCCCGCCCATCTGGCACTACAGACAGACTAAAGCAAACCCCGCCCATCTGGCACTACAGACAGACTAAAGCAAACCCCGCCCATCTGGCACTACAGACAGACTAAAGCAAACCCCGCCCATCTGGCACTACAGACAGACTAAAGCAAACCCCGCCCATCTGGCACTACAGACAGACTAAAGCAAACCCCGCCCATCTGGCACTACAGACAGACTAAAGCAAACCCCGCCCATCTGGCACTACAGACAGACTAAAGCAAACCCCGCCCATCTGGCACTACAGACAGACTAAAGCAAACCCCGCCCATCTGGCACTACAGACAGACTAAAGAAAATGTTCTAAGTATTTAAAAGATATTAAATATTATTAGATCCCAGGCTGCTGCTGCTTATAGAAGACTAAACATATTAGCAACGCCATATATTTCCTGTTTGAGGGGTGCAAAATCCACTTGGCACCTAAATCTCACGCAATAGATTGCTTTTATTTTACTCTTTCCCACTCGTGCTTGTGCCATTAGTTTTTTCCCCGTTAACGTAACGTCTGCGGGAACATTTGTAATGACCTGTCAAACACTCTGGGAATGGCTGAAATGGGCTCAATGGAATAAAATCGTTTTCCGTTGCATCTATAAAAACGCTGACGCTTGGTCTGGGATTTACCGTCTCAACAGTTCCATCACAAGAACGAGAAGAAAGAGAACGTTCATTTTGTGTTTTTTGAAAAAAAGTCATGATTGAATACAGTTGAAATGTTTACAAATTAGAAAGCAACTTCCGAGAAGGAACACTTGGATTATAGTGATATTATATCTGATCTCGCAAACAATGTAAAGTATGTTTAGATAGGTGTACGAGCCAAGCGTTTTGATTTTAAATCCAATGGGTATCTTGCTTGACATACCTGTTTAATAACGTACGAGAATGTGACAACAACAATACTGAATAATTAATGAGGCAGTCTAGATGGCGCAGGTAGGACTAGACAGAGCAAGTTTTTGGTGGTTTCAGCCCAGTTCCACCCATTTATGTTAATTTATTCAATTATGCAAATACACCCAGGGTGTATATATTCAAATGAGGCACATATAATTTTCTTTATTTTGTCACAAAATATTTAAAAAATAACTGATATACTGAGGAAATATATATATATGAGTGCATTATATGATAAAAGTGACATTTTACAATAAATGGAATACCTGAAATCCCACCAAAATGCATTCATTATTTGTCCTTGCCAGTACAATGTTTTATGTGCTATAATTCAGTCAATATCTGATTGATTAAAAAAATGCATAAAGTTTGAAGTATCTTCATTGTCCAACTGTTGCATTTATTAGAACTGTTTTTTAAACCTTTTATACATTTCAATGACCGTTGCTAAGCATATTGACAAATTAGTCACACCTCTATGATGATTGCCCCGTAAAATGGTTTGGAATGTTGCCATTAATCAGGACATTGTAGTCTCATTAGACAAATTAACATGGAACACACACACACACACACACACACACACACACACACACACACACACACACACAAGCAGTGTTGTCCCTGCAGATAATTTCATTGAAGCAATCACAATGTATTTTATGATGTAAATTGTCGAACTCAAACACTATCTACGCATTGATGGAAAATCACTGTCTGCATTATGTCTAACCACTGTATTCATCCCAGTGGATCACGATGAGATGTAGAAATACAATACATTACAATACATTACGCTTCATAACAATATCCTGTCTTTGATAAGAATCAAAATGTCATACAACATGGAATAGAGTGAAGGAAAGAGCCGTTGGGCTATGGAATCCAATATTGAATCTAGCTACACATCATATCAAAGATTCCGCCAGCTTTTCAAAAGAAACAAGATGTGATTTGCTTTGCAAAAGGACTGAGTTATTTGGTATTGTCCCCCAAGGTATTACATAGTGAATAAGCACTTGTTGTGAATGGTGTGATGTCTTCACATGTCATTTTGGAGTAAATTAATACATATTGATGTGTCTGCCAATTTTCTCTTTTGTGTGTACAGCCATGTGCCAACGGAGGACGTTGTGTCTTGAACAACGCTAGCAGTTACACCTGTGTCTGTACACCTGGATGGGCAGGACGTAACTGCCACTTAAACATCAATGATTGTGTTCAGCACTGGTGTCAAAACGGGGCCACTTGTGTGGATGAGATTGATGGTTACAGGTGAGTGTCTAAGGCAGGGTCTCAAATACACTGTTCAGTGTTTTCCCTATATTCATTTAGCGCCACTCCAAAAAATATTATATAAAAAAATTGTGAAATGGGGTAAATCATTTTCAGTATAACTAAAACTAAACCAGATAAAAAGTATGTAGAAATTGAGCATATTTTTAAATAAGATAATCTTTTAGAACTAACAATCACCAAAATAAAAACTAAACAGTCAGGGAGAATCTAAAATTCCAAAAAAGTCATGGCCCATTGATTTTGTTATAATGTTTGAGTCACTCAGATGGCATACGAACACGGCATTAACCATGGTAAAATGTGTAGAATTGCAGGAAACTAATTTAAAAAATTTGTTTATTAGTAAAACGTTAAGTCCCCTATTTAGGGGACTTTGACCGGTCCTGGACCGGTTCCGACCAAGATTTCTGTGTACAGAGCGCTGTGTGAACTGTGCAACATCAACAACATTCCACATTTTGTTGTGTTAAACTGGATTACATTCTTAATAAAAAAAAATATCTACACACAATACCCCATAATGACAAAGTGAAAACATGTTTGTGTTTTGTTTTTAGCAAATATATTGAAAATCAATTATTGCTTTGCACTCCGTGAAGCTCTGGTTGTCCGGCTTCACATGTCCCTCTCCGCTGTCATCTGAGATGCAGTATGTGAAATCTGACACCTCATATATAAATATTTCTGTATTTAATTTTCAATACATTTTCAAAAATCTAAAAAAGAACATGTTTTCACTTTGTCATTATGGGGTATTGTCTGTAGATGGGTGAGATAATTTGTTTAGTTTTTTATCCATTTTGAATTCAGGCTGTAACAACAAAATGTGGAATAAGTCAAGGGGTATGAATCCTTTCTGAAGGCACTGTAACTGGTTTTAAGTACTGTCTATTTGTAGGCTGAGGTGGTCTACTGGTTAAGGCTGCTGCCTTCAGTGCGCACGCATACTGTGTCGGTTGGGTTGAAATCCGTCACAGGCCATTCATTCTGGCACTAAACTTCTCTCCCATCTTTCCTGTCTTTCTCTCTGTCCTCTATCCAATAAAGAAATACGGTATGTTTAGGGCAACCGCTGCTCCGATGGTTACCTCATCAATGGGGTAATACAGAATAGAAAAAGTATTAGAAACTCCATTAACAATTGCTGCTTTGCAATTCCCTCTAGGATGCTAGAAAACAAATGAAAATCCATTTAGAAATTCTCAAAAATGTTTTGGTAACACTTCACTTAAGACACACAGCTGTAATGCATTACAAGGCAGTCTTAATGCATCTTAAGACTTGTCGGAAGTATCTATGAACGGTGTCTGTTAATATCATATTATAATGGATGTCACTGTCACCAGCTGCCTTTGTCCCAGAGGATACAGCGGTAGCTACTGTGAGATGGACGTTGATCACTGTATTGGCCATCTCTGCTCTGAGCACGGCGTATGTCTAGACCAACAACACAACTATACCTGTCGCTGTGAGCTCGGGTTCCAGGGGAGGTACTGTGAGCGGGAGACGGACAAGTGTAAGAGTTCCCCGTGTGCCAGTGGTGCCACCTGTGAGGATGTCATCGGAGGCTATCAATGCCACTGCCCCCCGGGGTTTGAAGGTAGGCCTACAGTATGTTAAACTGGTGATAACATTCATCTCTTGTTTTATGTATTGTTCTCTATAGAAAACAGTTGATTTCAGGTCAACTCACCAACTAACCTACTAAATAATAAAGAAACGAGCGGCAGGGTTTTTCCTTAGTTCATTGTTGTCAATATGTGTCGTCCTTTATCGTGGTGCTTTCATTGATTTGAAACCGTTAAAGGAATACCTCAACCAAATTACAAATGAACACATTTGTTCCCTTAACTTGGAAAAACAATGTTGATAACCAAAAAGAGAACATGGCATAGCAGCATCTCTTGAAAATATCCCAAATGTACAGATGAAAATATAAACGCAACATGTAAAGTGTTGGTCCCATGTTTCATGAGCTAAAATGAAAGATCCCTCAAATGCTGTGCACAAATTTGTTTACATCCCTGTTAGTGAGCATTTCTCCTTTGCCAAGATAATCCATCCACCTGACAGATGTGGCATATCAAGAAGCTGATTAAAAAGCATGATCATTACACAGGTGCACCTTGTGCTGAGGACAATAAAAGGCCACTCTAAAAATGGGCGGCAGGTAGCTTAGTGGTTAAGAGTGTTGTGCCAGTAACCGAAAGGTCGCTGGTTCTAATCCCCGAGCCGACTAGGTGAAAAATCTGTCTATGTGCCCTTGAGCAAGGCACTTAGCCCTAATTGCTCCTGTAAGTTGCTCTGGATAAGAGCGTCTGCTAAATGACTAATAATAATAATAATAATGAAAAAAAAGTTTTTTCACACAACACAATGCCACAGGTGTCAAGTTTTGATGGAGCATGCAGTTGGCATGCTGACTACAGGAATGTCCACCAGAGTTGTTGCCAGAGAATTTAATGTTAATTTCTCTACCATAAGCCGCTTTCAACATCGTTTTAGAGAATTTGGCAGTACGTCCAACCGGCCTTACAACCGCAGACTACGTGTAACCACGCCAACCCAGCACCTCCACATCCGGCATCTTCACATGCGTGATCGTCTGAGACCAGCCACTGAAACTAAGGAGTATTTCTGTCTGTAATAAAGCCCTTTTGTGGAGAAAAACTAATTACATTTACATTTTAGTCATTTAGCAGACGCTCTTATCCAGAGCGACTTACAGTTAGTGAATACATATTTTTTTTATACTGGCCCCCCGTGGGAATCGAACCCACAACCTTGGCGTTGCAAACGCCATGCTCTATCAACTGAGCTACATCCCTGCCGGCCATTCCCTCCCCTACCCTGGACGACGCTGGGCCAATTGTGCGCCGCCGATGAGTCTCCCGGTTGCGGCCGGCTGCGACAGAGCCTGGATTCGAACCAGGATCTCTAGTGGCACAGTTAGCACTGCGATGCAGTGCCTTATACCACTGCGCCACTCAGGAGTATGATTCAGGATGATAATTCTGATTGTCTGGGTCTGGCACCCCTGCCCAGTCATGTGAAATCCATAGATTAGGGCCTAATAAATGTATTTCAATTGATTGATATCCTAATTTGAACTGTAACTCAGTAAAATCGTTGAAATTGTTGCATGTTACGTTTTTATATTTTTGTTCAGTATATATTGGCACCCTTGCAATGGAGCAGGATGTTCCGTACAACCATTGATTTACAATAGCAGCACACGGCAGAGCTCTGTGTTCCCTAGTACCCCCCATGGGAGTGCACACAATGCCATAAAAGTCCCCGAAGATGAGAAATTGGGGCCACAATTCTATCACGTTCTGTATGCGTGTGTGTGTGTGTGTGTGTGTGTGTGTGTGTGTGTGTGTGTGTGTGTGTGTGTGTGTGTGTGTGTGTGTGTGTGTGTGTGTGCGTGTGTGCGTGTGCGTGTCCGTGTCCGTGTCCGTGTCCGTGCTTGTGTCTGTGTGTGTGCGTAGTGTAAGTAATATAGTCCTTCTGAAAGTCACTTTGTCATACGCACATCACATTATACTGGTGCTGGTAGAGAAGCTCAAATATTTTGTTTCAACCCTGGCACCATTGGCCCAGAACATGGCCATATCAAGTACAGTACACTGTAGAGTGAACAGACATTAGAAGACATTTACATTCTAACATGCTTAGAAAAGTATGTCAACCCAACTGAAATGTGCACAGAACGTACACTATAAGGGATATTTACAGAATGTAATCTGTTGTGTTTCCAGGAAGATGGTGCTCAGAGAATGTTAATGACTGCTGGTCAAGGCCTTGTCTGAATGGAGGTTCCTGTATGGATCTGCTAAATGGATACATCTGCCACTGTCCTTTTGGTGAGTACTCTACTGACGAGCATAGCACCACTGTCGTTTTGGGGAGTACTCTACTGACTAGCATAGCACCACTGTCGTTTTGGTGAGTACTCTACTGACTAGCATAGCACCACTGTCGTTTTGGTGAGTACTCTACTAACCAGCATAGCACCATAGAAATCACTGTTGTTTTGGTGAGTACTCTACTAACCAGCATAGCACACATAGAAATCACTGTCGTTTTGGTGAGTACTCTACTAACCAGCATAGCACCATAGAAATCACTGTCGTTTTGGTGAGTACTCTACTAACCAGCATAGCACCATAGAAATCACTGTCGTTTTGGTGAGTACTCTACTAACCAGCATAGCACCATAGAAATCATGCAGCATGCCATATACTGTACAGTGCCTTCAGAAAGTATTTATTCCACATTTTGTTGTGTTACAGCCTGAATTCAAAATTGATTAAATATATTTTTTTTCTCTCACCCATCTACACACAATACCCCATAATGATAAAGTGACAATGAAATGTTAGCAAGTCTATTGAAAATGAAATACAGAAATATCTAATTTACATAAGTATTCACACCCCTGAGTCAATACATGTTGCGATCACCTTTGGCAGAGATTTCAGCTGTGAACCTTTCTGGGTAAGTCTCTTAAGAGCTTAGCACACCTGGATTGTACAATATTTGCCCATTATTCTTTTTGAAATTCTTCAAGCTCTGTCAAGTTGGTGGTTGATCATTGCTAGACAACCATTTTCAGGTCTTGCCATAGATTTTGAAGCAGATTTAAGTCAAAACTGTAACTTGGTCGCTCAGGAACATTCACTGTCTCCTTGGTAAGCAACTCCAGTGTAGATTTGGCCTTATGTTTTAGGTTATTGTCCTGCTGAAAGAGGAATTTATCTCCCAGTGTCTGGTGGAAAACAGACTGAAACATGTTTTCCTCTAGGACTTTGCCTGTGCTTAGCTCCATTCCGTTTCTATTTTTATCCTGAAAAACTCCCCAGTCCTTAACGATTACAAGCATACCCATAACATGATGCAGCCACCACTATGCTTGAAAATATGGAGAGTTATACTCAGTAATGTGTTTTATTGGATTTGCCCCAAACATAACACTTTGTATTCAGGACAAAAAGTTAATTGCTTTTCCAAATGTGTTGCATTATTACTTTAGAACCTTATTGCAAACATAATGCATGTTTTGGAATATTTGTATTCTGTACAGGCTACCTTCTTTTCACTCTGTCAATTAGGTTAGTAATGTGGAGTAACTACAATGTTCTTGATCCATTCTCAGTGTTCTCCTTTCACAACCATTAAACTCTGTAACTGTTTTAAATTCACCATTGGCCTCATGGTGAAATCCCTGAGATGTTTCCTTCCTCTCCGGCAACTGAGTTAGGAAGGAGACCTGTATCTTTGTAGTGACTGGGTGTATTGATACACCATCCAAAGTGTAATTATTAACTTCACCATGCTCAAAGGGATATTCAATGTCTGCTTCTTTTATTTTTACCCATCTACCATTAGGTGCCCTTCTTTGCGAGTCATTGGAAAAATCTCCCTGGTCTTTGTGGTTGAATCTGTGTTTGAAATGCACTGAGGGACCTTACAGATAATTGTATGTGTGGGGCACAGAGATGAGGTAGTCATTCAAAAAGCATGTTAAACACTATTATTGCACACAGAGGGAGTCCATGCAACTTATTATGTGACTTGTTAAGCTTCTCCCCTATTTGACCTAGATAGTTTGTGTATGTATTGATATGTAGGCTATGTGTGCCGTTTTAAATGTATGTAGTTCTGTCCTTGAGCTGTTCTTGTCTATTAATGTTCTGTATTATGTCATGTTTCATGTTTTGTGTGGACCCCAGGAAGACTAGCTGCTGCTTTTGCAACAGCTAATGGGGATCCTAATAAAATACCCAAAATGAATAAAAAAAACAACAAACATAATTCCACTTTGACATTATGGGGTATTGTGTGTAGGACAATTACACATTTCAGTCTGTAACACAACGAAATGTGGAAAAAAAGTCAAGGGATGTGAATACATTCTGAAGGCACAGTAGCTATGTGTTACAATGAAACATTTGGCCATTAAATGCATACAGATCCTATCATTGAATATAATCTATCCTATAATTGAATTCATTATAGGGTCTTTATGATGACATGAATGTTGAAAATAGTTGGTATGTGTAGTGGTATATAAATCATGCTGTGTTTACAGTTACAGTCTGATATATTGGCATCCTTGCACTTTACAATGGCGTGAATATACAATAGAGTGGTCACTTTCTGTTTAAATAAAGGTTACAATAAATATTTAACAATAACACAATACAATTTTCCAAATGTACATTCTTGACCCTAGTATGATATAATCACCAGTATACTACATGCAATGCACCTGGAAAAATAGCCATTTGGTATTTTATTAGGATCCCCATTAGCTGTTGCAAAAGCAGCAGCTACTCTTCCTGGGGTCCACACAAAACATGAAACATGACATAATACAGAACATGAATAGACAAGAACAGCTCAAGGACATAACTACATACATAATTCGATTTAGCCCCATATGCAGTATCCCCAGCCCCAAAAACATATATCACTAATCTCCTAATGTTATCACGTGACAATAAAACACGGTAGTAAAATACATCATTGTAAATTTTCGGTTGAAAATGTACGAAACAAACTTCTCCGTCATTTACTTGAAGTTGAAGTGGAGAGGAAACAGACCCCCCAGTGTGTCATCAAACATCCATTATTGCTCAGATTTCTACGGCAGATTCGGAGACTAAGGTGTGTTTAATCTGGTTTGCGTTTTCCGGGAATTGAATTAGATAAGTGGCTTGCGATGTTTACTTTATAGATAGAATAAATGTAACAGAAAAAGGGTCTCTGCAAGGTTAACCCCATTTTCACAACCATGCTTCAGATGTCCATCATCTTTAGCATCTCTATTGGGCTAGCTCCAAATGTTAAAAAAATTGATATAGTTATATTTTTGTGGGATTTCCGGGAACAAGGACAAATTGATGTTTTGGTTTTGTTCTTCTTTCTTAACAGGGACAATGTAGACTATGAATAGAACTTGTGCAGTGTGTGTGTGTGTGTGTGCACGCTATGCTTTTCCAAAATGGTTCAGGCAATTCTTTATCATTTAAATTGAAGGAGTTTGAAGGACTAGAATGAATGGTAGCTGGTGCCTGAGATAAAAAAATAAATATATCTGTAAAGTTCAAAAGGTACACTCGAACCATAACATTTTAAAAAACCGAGGCTGAGAATATTCTGCATTGAATTCATGCTCGAAAGAATACAAAAGGTGAAAGTACTCTACAAAACAACGAGTCCAGGTTCCAGCTTCTACGCCTTCATCCACGCTTTACAAACCAATTAAATACACACGTACTGAAGAAGACGCACCTGTGCATCACAGGTGCAACCGACGCATGGTAACAAGTTATTTATAATGTAAATGCCTGATGCTGCAATAATGTAGTCATTTTCAGAAATGCTTTTACATTTTACAAGCCTCAGAAAGCAAAGTAGTAGAAAACAATCATATGAAATTAGACCAACAGATGAGAGCAGCCCATAATGTCTTGGTGTTTTTAATGCTCAACAGAATGAGAAGGACAAACAGACCTGAGGTACACTAATGTTATTTTGATGTACGGCATGATGGCATCATTTGCAATTGAAATGGATTTTTACCATCTTCCACTGCATGTATGTTGGGTTTTGAATATTGCATGGCATGCTGTTTCACTACTGCTGGTCAGCTGGTGATGCCTCATATTCTACAGTTATAATACAATAATGGACCACCACAAGCTGCCTCTTATTCTACAGTTATAATACAATAATGGACCACCACAAGCTGCCTCTTATTCTACAGTTATAATACAGTAATGGACCACCACAAGCTGCCTCTTATTCTACAGTTATAATACAATAATGGACCACCACAAGCTGCCTCTTATTCTACAGTTATAATACAGTAATGGACCACCACAAGCTGCCTCTTATTCTACAGTTATAATACAGTAATGGACCACCACAAGCTGCCTCTTATTCTACAGTTATAATACAATAATGGACCACCACAAGCTGCCTCTTATTCTACAGTTATAATACAATAATGGACCACCACAAGCTGCCTCTTATTCTACAGTTATAGTACAATAATGGACCACCACAAGCTGCCTCTTATTCTACAGTTATAATACAATAATGGACCACCACAAGCTGCCTCTTATTCTACAGTTATAATACAGTAATGGACCACCACAAGCTGCCTCTTATTCTACAGTTATAATACAATAATGGACCACCACAAGCTGCCTCTTATTCTACTGTTATAATACAATAATGGACCACCACAAGCTGCCTCTTATTCTACAGTTATAATACAATAATGGACCACCACAAGCTGCCTCTTATTCTACAGTTATAATACAATAATGGACCACCACAAGCTGCCTCTTATTCTACAGTTATAATACAATAATGGACCACCACAAGCTGCCTCTTATTCTACAGTTATAATACAATAATGGACCACCACAAGCTGCCTCTTATTCTACAGTTATAATACAATAATGGACCACCACAAGCTGCCTCTTATTCTACAGTTATAATACAATAATGGACCACCACAAGCTGCCTCTTATTCTACAGTTATAATACAATAATGCACCACCACAAGCTGTGTGTGTGTTTACCTTGGTTGTGTCTCAAAATTCACCCTATTCCCTGTGTAGTGCACTACTTTTAAATAGGAAATAGGGGGCCATTTGGGACACTTGTTGGCATTTACATTTACACACCTCTTCAAGCACATTGTTTTCCTTTTCACATAAAATAATACATTTAGATTTACTCTATTTTTGATACGATCTCTGATGTCTGAGTGGCTTAATCAACACTACTGGAGTCTAATTTGTAACAATCATAGATGTATTTAACGTATTGAATTAAGTCATTTATTTAATTCTGTAAGCACAACACAGTGTTTTGTGAACACATTGCCGCTACAGAGGTTTAGAATTAATTTACCCACAATGATCACTCCAAATGGCACTCTACTCCCTATATAGTGCATGACTTTTGACCAAGTAGTGAACTACATAGGGAATAGGGTGCCATTTGGGATCAGGGAATGTGTTCCAGGCATATTGATCATTAAACTCATACTGGTAATGCGGTGATATTTGTCTTGATTTGTGCAAATAGACAGCCGTCTGTTTCTTTTACAGGGTGATTTTAATCAGGGAGATTCATTTAAATTTATCCTTTTTTATATTTCATTAATTTCTCAGCGTCATGCAATATTGTTATTGTCATTTATAATGTTATAGTTATCTGAGGTGGTTATCTGAGCTATTGGATGAGTCCCAAATGGCACCCTATTCCCTATATAGTGCACTACCTTTGACCAGGGACTACTTTTGGTCAAAAGTAGTGCACTATATAGGGAATAGGATGCCATTTGGGACGCATACGTTATAGCAAGCTCCTTGTGTTCTCACCCATGTTAACTCTATAGAAATATAGCGCTACAGTGCCACCCTAATCCAGGGAACTGATACATAGACATTGGTTCAAGTAGTGTTTGAAACCTTTCAGATATGTTGAGTGTTTGCTTTAGCCTGCCTGGAGTGCCAGGGGGACGGGGTTTGCACTTTCGGTAGTTTTCTTTTGATTCCATCACAACAGGCAAGCTTAATCAATCACAGCTGTAAGTATTTTGAATGATTTCAAATAGTATTTGAACCCAGGTCTGCTGATACAGTCTCCTACTGCTGTACTCTGGCAGTGTGGTGAATGTGTACAGAACCTTGCACTTCATTATTTGTCAAATGAGATTCGACAAAGTACATACAGCAGAATAGCTTAAAAATGCTTTTCTCGTATTTAAGCTTGCTGGTCTCGGGTGGTTTGCTGGTTGATGTTGCTTAGAGTCATTTTTCTCTGCCTCATCATTATGGCAGCATATCTGCATAAATTCTGCATATCATTGTTCCTCCTCCCATTTGCATTAAGGACAAACTTTCTGAGTTTCTCTCATAGCCACTTTAGGATTCCTCAGTTTCAATGCACATGTTGATTGATTACCAGTTTCATATTACCATCGTTTTTATTGTAGAGGGGTGCTAAAAGAGTTTAGGTTCAGGAGATTATTTGTAGAGGGGTGCTAAGAGAGTTTAGGTTCAGGAGATTATTTGTAGAGGGGTGCTAAGAGAGTTTAGGTTCAGGAGATTATTTGTAGAGGGGTGCTAAGAGAGTTTAGGTTCAGGAGATTATTTGTAGAGGGGTGCTAAGAGAGTTTAGGTTCAGGAGAGTATTGTAGAGGGGTGCTAAGAGAGTTTAGGTTCAGGAGATTATTGTAGAGGGGTGCTAAGAGAGTTTAGGTTCAGGAGAGTATTGTAGAGGGGTGCTAAGAGAGTTTAGGTTCAGGAGATTATTGTAGAGGGGTGCTAAGAGAGTTTAGGTTCAGGAGAGTATTGTAGAGGGGTGTTAAGAGGCCTACTTTGATACTCAAATGAGATGCAATAATATATTAGTTGTATGAATGAATGAATGACATTTTATTTTCGCGTCAAACCGGCAGTTGGCGACCCATGCCTTACGGGATTACTTGACAGATAAACAAACAATACAATGATTCAATGATTTTCTGTTTTTACAGTTTTCGGTACATATAGTTTAAACAACTCAGAGGAAATGTTATGTTACACACAGTAGAGCTTTCTCAGGCCTTCAGTCCTTTATCCCCCCCCCCCCCCCCCCCCCCCGCTGTCTCGACCTCTGAATGCTCGGCTATGAAAAGCCAACTGACGGGCTGACTGTTGCAACCTCTACAACCACTGTTATTATTATTTGACCCTGCTGGTCATCTATAAACGTTCAAACATCTTGAAGAACGATCAAGCCTTAATGGCTATGTACTCTTTAATAATCTCCACCGGCAATGCCAGAAGAGGACTGGCCACCCCTCTGAGCCTGGTTCCTCTCTACCCAGTACAGCCAGAAGAGGACTGGCCACCCCTCTGAGCCTGGTTCCTCTCTACCCAGTACAGCCAGAAGAGGACTGGCCACCCCTCTGAGCCTGGTTCCTCTCTACCCAGTACAGCCAGAAGAGGACTGGCCACCCCTCTTAGCCTGGTTCCTAGTGCTGAACGATTAGTTCTTTAAGAGGCCGGGTCGGTTAGATTGTTAGATTGTTAAAAAAATATCACAGATTTCGGTTTCAATATAAAAAAAATGACATTCATTTGAAATGCACTAAGCATTATGTGGGTTGAATACTGTAAAAACACAGAATACAACAATTCATAAAAGTCCCATGATGGTAGTGACTGTCCATTACTGCTTATCACTTATTAACCATCATTTATTCACATTACTTTACTTTAATAAAATATTTGTTTTATGTGATTACCTTAATATTTCATTCCAAGACATCATCTCATCTCTATAGAGCTGCTGCCTATGCTGTCTGACAAAATCACTATTTTAGTAGTTATTCAAAGTAAATAAGGCATATTATTGGTAGCTGTGGGCTGTATTCTCGAAAGGCTAAAGTAGTCTAATGGTAGCTGTGGGCTGTATTCTCTACAGTCTACAGTAGTCTAAAGGTAGCTGTGGGCTGTATTCCCTACAGTATAAAGTAGTCTTAAGGTAGCTGTGGGCTGTATTCTCTACAGTCTAAAGTAGTCTAATGGTAGCTGTGGGCTGTATTCTCTACAGTTTAAAGTAGTCTAAAGGTAACTGTGGGCTGTATTCTCTACAGTCTAAAGTAGTCTAATGGTAGCTGTGGGATGTATTCTCTAAAGTAGTCTAATGGTAGCTGTGGGCTGTATTCTCTACAGTCTAAAGTAGTCTAGAGGTAGCTGTGGGCTGTATTCTCTACAGTCTAAAGTAGTCTAATGGTAGCTGTGGGATGTATTCTCTAAAGTAGTCTGATGGTAACTGTGGGCTGTATTCTCTACAGTAGTCTAAATGTATATGTGGGCTGTATTCTCTACAGTAGTCTAAATGTAACTGTGGGCTGTATTCTCTACAGTAGTCT